CCTAGCACCAGCAACAACCAACCAACCAAAAGCTGTAAACCTTGATAACTTAATTTTTTCCCCTTTAAAACAGGAAAAAAATACAAATGGAGTCTTTAACCGTCAGTATACATTTCCTTTAATGTGCAACTTTTTATGGTTTATAGCCAGAGAATGTATCATCAGTTTTGTAGGAAGTTCTCAACACTGGTAGTTGATTTATTTTCCTTTCCTGTGTGGTTTTTTTTTTCCTTTAGCTGCAAAGATTTTTTTTTTTTTTTTTGCCTTAAACTTCATTTTATTGTATGTTGGAGAAAAAAGAGGAATAAATTCTTGTACTAAATTAATCTAATACTATTCATATGATTGGAGCAAACCAAGCTGTTTTTCTTCCAGAACCATTGCATGGAACTTGGTGGCTAGTTATTATGAAGAGCTGCCCTTTGGTAGATGTGGATTAATGACAGCACAAGAGCCGTGGAGTGGCCACTACAAAGTAGAAGCTCCTATCTGGATTACAGGTAAAAAGTTTGCAGTTAAAAGTTTGGTGATCTAACACAGAGTGTAAGTGTATTTTCTGAGGCATTTATTTGTCTTTGTATATGTATTATTTTCTGTACTAGATTAAAGTAGTTTTGCGGAAAGTTTTGTGAATACTTTAAAAAAGAAGGGAAAAAAGATTTCAAAATAAAGCAGAAAGATCTAATAGCAAGGGAAATCTTAAATAATTGACTGTTAGATACAGCAGAAATTAATAAACTAGTGCCTTTTATAGCTGTTACTATTAAAATATTTTGATCTGAAGTGCCCATAAAGGTTAGGGTGCTTTCCTAGTTCCTTTCCTTCTTCTTTTTTAATCCTTAAGTAGACATTTGATACCTCCCAATTTGAGAAAATGGAACAAGGAACCTCTGTATTTCTTGTCCTTTTTGAGATTCTTGGCTGGTATAAGTCAGCATTCCCTTGTGCTTGGGGAAAGGGGAGTATGTTCACCTAGTGCCTATGGACACATGGATTCACTGGCTACTCTACTTTGTAATGTTTTACTGTCTTTGCCATGGTTCAGTAGAGCAAGTAGCACATGTGATGCCATAAAGGAGGAACCAAGCAAATGCCTTTGTTTTTATTCTGCTGCTAGTTACTTGTATATGTAAAAGCATAAAAAAATAAAATGGCCATACCATCATATGAACAGCTCAGAACAGCTGAGCAGTAGTTCCTGTTTCCATGTTGCTTGGGATTTTTGTGATCTAGGGTCATATTCTTCTTTTGTACTCTTATATGCCGAGAACCTTACTTATTTAGTCATAGAGATGCCCGTCTATGCTTTCTCTGGCTTAACTGTTTACTTTATAAAAAAAAAAGAAATTTGGGAAAAATCTAAATGGTGATGAATATTCATAGCACATGTACATCATTGACTTATCTAGTGGTGTAATAGTTTTTTCTTTCTGTCTAAGTAGTTGCTAACTTTTTAACTGTTTTGTCTGCCACAGAGCTGATATTTTTAATTGTGCCTTAGCATAATTCTTTAATGTTTCTTCTTGTCTAGGTAGAATTTGTTTTGGAAGTTCATTACTTTATTCTCAAAATCAAGTTTTTGTTGTGTAAGCATGTATGAGACAGAAATTTAATTCAGACTACTAATGGTATTATTTTTATTAAGACTTAACTATTTTGTTCTGTATTTTGTTCTGCTTTGTCTCAGCACACACAACACAATTTACTCAGCCAGGCTGGTCATACTTGCAAGTAGATGGACACTTAGAAGGAGGTGGCAGTTTTGTAGCACTGACAGATGGCCTAGGAAACCTTACCATCATCATTGAAACTATGGTATGTGCATCAGCAATTCAAATGAACTAGAAAAGATGAAGGAAATGTCTTGTTACGAAGAACCTATTTTGATTTATGTTGTTCAATATCTGCGAATGTGTTCTTTGATGCTTGTAGATTTGTTAGTGAGACCACTAGAGGTCCTTTTTTCTATCTAAACTTTGAATAGCTAGTTGCGTCTTCCTGGAGGCCAATGTATATGTCATCTTTGTATCACAAATTAGCTTTAATTTGATTACACACTCTCAGGAAGGAATCATGCTTTTTTAAGTATTCAAAATAAAATTATTGCGCTAGTATAATTGCATTTATCATTAAGATAACAGTGAAATAAGTAGTTGCAAATTGATCCTGTGTTGCTTTTTTAATTTCAGTTTATGCTCTATGTTTTTCATGAACATTGCCATGTGATGTATTCAGTAATGTATGTTCCTTGTATTACATTATTTTTTTTCTTCAGACCCATAATCACTCTCAGTGTATCAGGCCTCCACTGCCTCATTTCAGTGTGACACCTCAGAGAGCAACTTTCTACCTTAAAGGGTCATTTGTAAGTAGATCTTGAATACGTTTGATCGGTCTTGTAAAATGAATTGCTATCCATAATCAAATACATGCAAGGCAGTCTCACAGGTGAGCAAGAAATGGGAGTTCTTCACCTCCAATATTAGAGACTGTTACACACCTGGAAAACTTTTAGGCATTCTAGTTCTGCTTTTACCATGAGATGTAGTGTCATATATGAATTTGTAGAATTACTACCTCCCAGCTTAATCACTTGTATATTGAAGAAGAAATTCGCCAGAACAGAAATGCAGCTGGGTTTTTCTTTAGGATTTATTCCAAGGCTGGGCGCTCTGACATGCTGACATAGTTTGACTGGCCGGCATGGCCATGACCTTTCTAGTTGTTATCAGCTCCTTTCCAGAGGAGTAACTGCAATTGATTGTATACTGTCGATTATGTTGTTCCATCCTGTGAAGAGATACTCTGAGAATCTCCCAGCTGTTGGTTTGTTATTTTTTTTTTTTTTTCCTAGTCTGGCTAAACTGAATTTCCCTCTGAAATGCGAACAATACTTTCACAGTGTAAACTGGAGTGAATCTTTGTTAGTTGATTTTGATGATTGCTTCTCAGAAGCTGAAAGAATTTACTTATTTGGAATTTGGCTTTTGGTGGTATTAGCTTCCTTTCATTTAGGAGAAGGTAGTTTGGACATTACTTCTGGCAATAAAATGGTTTTCTTAGGAAAAGTAGTTGAGCGTCGCTTCTGATATACATCTCTCTTTGGGAGAAGTATCAGACGGTTTATTGTTGTGGTTTAACCTGGCAGGAAGCTGAACACCACGCAGCCGTTTGCTCACTCCTCCCCCTCCCCAGTGGGGGAGAGAATCGGAAAAAGTAAAACCTGTGGGTTAAGATAAAGACAGTTTAATAAAACAGCAGAGGAAAATAATAATATTAATAATAATAATAATGGTAAGAGAATATACAGAATATACAAAAGTGATGCACAATGCAATTGCTCACTACCTGCTGACCAATGCCCATCCCACCCCCAAGCACTGATTGCTCTTCCCTGGCCAACTCACTCGAGCATGATGTAATATACCCCTTTAGGCAGTTGGGGTCAGCTGTCCTGGCTGTGCCCCCTCTCAGCTTCTTGTGCACCTGGCAGAGCAGGGGAAGCTGAAAAGTCCTTGACTGGTGTAAGCACTGCTTAACAACAACTAATGTTGTTAACTGATGTCAACATTCTTCTCATCCTAAACCATACACGCAGTGCTGTGCCATGTAGCAGGAAGAAAATTAACTCTACTCCAGCTGAAACCAGGACACTTATCCAAACAAAATTCTTGGTTGCTTGCTTTGTTGTTCATGTGGGTAACTAAAAATTGTAGGGGTAGGGTATGATTAAAATCTGTAACTAATGTAGTTGATATGCCATAGTATCGCAGAAGTCGAGAGATCTGTAAGCAAAGTACTTTGCTCAAAAATGAATATCAAAGAAGCAGCAACTAAACTAAACATCTCATTAAAGCAAATTTAGCAGATTTTTTCAGCCTGGTTGCTTCTAGGCAGAGAGCTTGTATCAAAGGGATACCGTTGTTAATAGACAAGCTAAAGATTGCATGTGTAATTGCAATGGTTTCTGTCTTTATAAGCAACATTACTACATGTTGGGACAATGGCTTATTGATGTATAATCTATAAAAAGATAAGCCATATATAATGACTAGCTGAATAGAGCGGTGGCCTCTAATGTGATCAACAACTTTAAAATGACAAAAATTCGACACCCTTAGAGGACTGATATTTCTCAAGGTGAATATTCATGGGTTTGTTTGGTTTTGGTTGTGTTTTTTTTTTATTTTTATATTGTGTTTCATTGTAGTGTATGGTGGAAACACTTCAAGTGTGGCATTCTAGACTTGGTTTTGAGTCTGGAAACTCTAGTCTTTTCCAGCAACTCCATCCTGTAAAGGTAAGTCAATCAGTTTTAATTACAGTCTCTGCAATTTCAGGTGTTTCTTCCCCTTTTGCTGGAAATCCTGGACTTTCATACCTAAACTCTGTAATTAGGGTATGTTTTATTAGCTCCATTTGACTACAATTTTACTAGCTAAATACAAGCTTACCTGGAGGTAATACAAAGTTTGGGGGAAAGGAGTTTTCAAAATAGCTCAGAGATATTAAAAGCTGAGGCAAGAAGACAGGATTTTTGCCTTAAATCAGGACTTTAGATGATCTCTTTGAATTCAGGAATCTTGGGTATTTTGTTATTTAGTTGTTTGATTTTTGCAGCTTGAGCTTTCTTTAATTCCAGGTGTGGAAGGGAAGTTTTTCTTTAGATCTAAACGTGGATGAAGTCTACACTTTAACCACACTCAAGACAGGGCAGAAATGTGGTTGTCCAGAGCCTCCACCACCTCAGCCCTTTCCTTCAAATTACAAAGATGATTTCAATATTCGTAAGTCAGAATTCTCTTATCCAAAAACTTAATTCACACACAGATATAGTTTTAAAGTAGAAAGGCAATAACAGTTATGTTATTTGAGTCTTCTAATGTAAGTGACATGAAGTAGTCTGAATGTGTTTTATTTTTGTTTATTTATACCTGCTTCTCCAACAACTTACACCTGTATACTTCACTTGCAATGAGGTGTATTTAATTCTGTGTCTTAACTGGGTGGTTCCTAACAGTTTTAAAATTCTTGATGCAAATGATATAGCTCATAATGATAGTGAACTACTTTTTGGAAGGAAGATAGGGAAGAAGAAGGTAATTTACTTTGTTCATGTGTTTGCAAAAACTCGGGTCTGCTTAAAAACAAAACCAAAACTAAAATCACCTTCCAACTCCCAAACTTCAGTTTTGGAGACTGTGCTTTGATAGAGTAAGTCAAAATTCTGGAGAATATTTTCAGAGGAAACTTCTGGAAACAGGAGTATGCAGAAGAAAAATAATGTTTTGGTGTTGATATGTATTTTTTTAATTTATTTTCTGGACAGGTAATCCACCTTTCAGTGAAGCCCCAAATTTTGCAGATCAGACAGGTGTATTTGAATACTTTGTAAATGCTTCTGACCCAGGAGATCATGTGTTCACGCTCCGCCAGGTGGTGGTTCAGCGACCCATCACTTGGGCATCTGATGCAGACCAGACCATCAGTGTCATAGGAAATTTTCGGTGGTATGTAAATACTCTTTTCTAGTGGCATCTGGGGAAATGTCCTCCTCGCCAGTGTGAGTTATGATCAGTGTCAAGCCTCATTTCTCTTGGACAGAGGGCTTTTGCATTCAGACTCGATGTAGACATGTAAAAATGATGACTTAAAGGGACTTCCAAAAGTCATTGGGCCCTGCTCAGGGCTATTGCGAACTCTGAGAGAAAAACTGTGTCTTTGTCTAAATGAGTCTTAAAAACATGCAAGGATAGAGAGTCCACCACATCTCTTGGTACTTTGGCCCACTGCCGCGCTGTCTTGGAAATTTTTTTCCTAATGTCCTGCTGGGCATATTTATTCAAGCTGAAATTTTTGAATAATGGATCTAGGTTGGCGTACTAGAAAGGCCAAGTCAAAGTCCTAATTCAAAGCATGCACCGAGTTTCAATGCATTTTTAAATGGACAAAAAAAATTGCTTCAGTTTAAATTACTCGGTTTTGAGTTGTCTTGCTTGATTGTTAGTGATTTGATCAATCTCGTATCAATGAAATAGGCTGGGAGTTAATTCGGTTATATTTGTTGCAGACTGCCATCTTCTGAGCAGTTCCTAGAATTGTGTGGATTTGATTCAACTGCTACTTAAAACTGTTTTATTTCTGGGTAAAGGTAACTGAGATTTACTGGTTTGATAAGAGTATGGTTATGCTTGCAGTTATTTCTAGGAGGAATAATGATGGCAATTTGGAATCAAGCAGCATCTTTTAGCATAATGTTTATTTAAAATCAATAAATTTTATGTTTAAAACCTTTTCTTCTATTTATAAGGCTATCTTAAATTCTTTTGATATGTTCTTTAAAATAGCCATTCTGTCAGGGTTTTTTTCACTTTGACTGGATCATTGATCTTCCAAAAGCTTTTTCAGAACATACTTCATGTTTCTAATTTCTGGCCTTGGGCAAGTGATGGAATCACTTTGTTCTGAAGCCTGGAAAGAATGCCACCATGTTGTGGCTGGAGGTTGTTCTTCAGTTACCTGATGTTTTCTCCCACAGCTCTCTGTTTTCTTCCGCAGCTCTCTGTTAAGTGAAGTCTTGTATTCCCCCTGTAATCAGCTTTCCCTCATTGAATAGATCATATTCAGTGATTCCTCTAACAGCTACACAGGTTGGTTTCTGGGAAGAACTGCTCTTCCTAAGAAAATCTGTGTACTCATAGGTGGGAAACAACCAGTCTAGATAAGTCCTGTGCATCTTGCACTAGTAGGTCACAATTAAGATTTAGCAGTCTTTCCTCAAAAAGGTTGCTATACTACATAGGGAATACTTTCTACCTACTGCTTGCTCAAAAAAAATGGATTCCTTGCTTGTTAAAGCACTAAACTTCTCTTACAGGGTAAACGTGACAGTCACTTGTGACATCTACATAGAAAACCAACGTGATGGGGGTGTGTTTATTGCAGGAAGAGTTGACAATGGTGGGATATATGTTCGACGTACCAAAGGAGTATTCTTCTGGGTTTTTGCAGATGGCACCTACAGAGTCACTGGTGACCTAGGTAAGCAGCTCTTTGCTAAAGTGGATGCTGACATATGTACATGTCATTTTGATAGCCTTGCTAAAAATGACTAATATTCAGATTTTGTAATTTGGTTGTAATCAGCATGAATTTAACCCATTGTGCTCTAGTGATGCCCACATTTTGTATGTGAAGAGAGCATCTGAAGGCTACTGGCCGGTCCACTTCTCAGTCTCAGCTTTCTGGATATTTTTGGGGTTTTTTCTGCTGACAAAAGCTATTTTAGACTAGCAAATGTAAATTATTTTGCTTTTCATAAGTACTCTGATACAATATTAACTACAGAAAGGTTTCATCTGTATTCTTATACTATCCCTAAAAAGAAAATTCTGCTTGAAATGTAATGGCCTGTCTTGTAGAGCAATGCAAGTCAATGTACATACATCTGGCTTAGGTGATGATGCTGAGTGGCCTACTGTTTCCACAAATTATGCATTCTACTGTTAGTCTAGCTCAGTGGAGTGAGAACATATTCTACTTGTGATGCTAACATTCATATATGTTCGTCTATAGAGCACTTGACAGACACTAGCTGAAACGAGAGGATTTTGATTAACTACCTCATTATTTCAGACTGAGACACTTGTTACACAGTATGATGGGTTTTTTTTTCTGTACAGAGATTTTCAGTGATCCTTACATTTTCTGGAGGGGAGTCTGAATATTAAATTAACTTGCAGCTAAAACAGTCTACTGTCAGTCACACCCAATTTTTGCTTAGCTGAAATTTTGACTAGAACTATAAGCGACATGATGATGTGGCAGCTCAAACCCTCTGACTTAAACCAGTTCCTATACATAAACAAGGAGATCTGTAGAACAAGCAGAGCAATAGCTACTGTCACACTTCATGAACCTATGCTTTCAATAGAGGGAATCCTTATCTCAGGCCAAATTCCCAAGAGCACTGGAGATTTCAGTGGAAAAAGAGTCCTGAGAAAATAGGAGAACGCACTGATAATATAGAGTCCAGGTTTGTGTGTTAAGCCTTCCATGCTGCAGCTGAAATTGGTAAGATTTCAGTCCTGAATGCTTCTGAAAAATAGATAGTTTCTATCTGCTGGCTTGGTATTTACCACTGTCAGCAAAGGGCTGAAGTTACACCTTGCTAACCTTAGGCATGTCTTGCAGCCGGAGAAGAAATATTAATGAAGGGACTTTCTGGTGTCCGGGATAATGTGTGGCACACACTTACTCTCAACATTCAGGTAAGGACACAGGCAAAAAACTAGAAAATTAGTTATAAAACTTCCAGTCCTAAATGGTTTAGACAAAACTGTGCTATACTATTGACTGTCTACATGCATTAGTTCGCCCTATCTAAAACATGAATAATATCTCTGTTATTTTAAACCAATATTAAAATACCATACCAAGTTCTGCTGCCTGTTCTGTATTTTTAAAGAGGTCTTGAGAAACTGGAAATGGTATAGAAAATAACTGGAAAGATGAGTTGAAAGCTGGAGACAGGAGGGCTAGAGGCACAAATTTTTTGTTTAATCTAATGAAAAGATCATGACCTGACTTCCTGTTCTGAAAACTGTCAATAAACTAAACTAGCCTGTTTTACAAATCTGTCTCCCACCAATCCCTTTGCATGCTAAGGCCTTTTATGTGGAGCTACTTAAGGACTGGGGAATTCAGATGAGCTGCCATACTTCTTTCCTATACTGAAAAAGCACAGACATAGTGTTGTAAAAATGGGCCACAGGTAATGAGAAGCCTGTCCACACTTCTTGCTCCCCCCTACTCCACCCCTTTTGGCCACAGTCACTTGGTGAGGAAAGTAGTCCCCAGCTCTACTTTAAATATACCTGGACGCTTAGCTGGGTGTGACATTGGTGCAAGCAACTAAAAGACTTTAAGCTCCTCTGCAGAATGCCTAATCCCTTTGCTTAATGTAACCTTTGCAACTGCAACGTGGCCTGAAATGTGGGGAAGCTTGAATCCTAGCTGGTGAGATCTTCTACTGAAGCAAACTCTCTTAAAATTATCCACTGAGTCTTTTCCCCCATCCTAAAAGGTCAGTGAGTATTAGAAGCTGGTTTTTGTCTTTTGTGCTTTCACACTGGGAGACAGAGATGCTCATACCTGAGGTATTCACTGGAATGGATGTAGTTTAGTTTTGGCTTTTGTACACCTATACTTACGACAGTGATTGCCATCTGTAAAATGGGCCAAGACATTTGCTAACATGAATGGGGTGTTGAAGATGAACATAATTTTGTGTTAAAACACAAAACAGTGGTGGTAATTTTAAAATGATGATGCTACAGACTTCTGTCTGTTCTGTTAAAGTATTTTGTACCAAATGTGCCTTTGATGTAATGGACAGAAGTGCAGAGCCCTCTTTAAAGAATTCTCATGCTGACTCCTTCTTGAGAGGTGTTCCTTGATTTTACCAGTGTCTATAATTGTCTTTCAGATTAAGAAATACAAGTAAACTGAAGTAATTTTTTTTCCTAAATACTGTTTAGTGGAACACTGGCAAGATAAATTTTAACTTTTCCTGAAACGGTTTTTAATTTTAATGGCAACATGATACTTGAAAGTTCTGCTGTCCCTTCTTCCTCTCAGCTTGACTAAAATATGTCTCTTCTTCCTTTTGACTTTTGCGTAATTCTGCAGAATAGGTGCCAGCTGTATCATATCCCTGTACAACAGTTGGGCTGTTTGAGGGAGCCTGACACAAGTGGAAGAGGAAAACCAGTTTACCTTTCAGATTCTGCACTGAGTTTGCAAAGATGTAAATTATGGCAAGATGAGCCTTTTACATATTCACTGTAAAGGCATTAGGTCTGTTTCACAGAGCTGATAGGCCCTGGAGGGTTCTATGCAGTATTTAGAAGCGTCTCTGCATGGAAAATGTGAAATGTAGTTGAAAGTTCACTTGATAGCATTCTGCCTTGTCTCTTCTCCCGTGTGAGTAGGCTCAGTGTCAACATGATCACTGGATTTTACAAAGCTAACTTTTTCCTTTTTTTGACAGGGCACTTCTGCCTCAGGACTCTTAAATGGTTATCCACTCTGGGAGAACGTCACCATTTCTAAACCAAGCAATGGCTGGGCTGCTATTGGAACTCGCTCGTTTGAGTTTGCACAGTTTGACAACTTTCATGTTGAAGCCAGCTGAGGTGGCTTTTGGATTTGGAGAACCCAGTTCTCATATTACTTTGAATAAGAGCCAGTTCAAACTTTGAGGACAGCTTTGCTGAGATTGATCTGCTGGCAAGGAGTCTGAATTCTGTCCTTATTACTTGTTAAAGGTTTATTTGAGTAGGCATCAACATGACTGTAACTTTATCCCCTGGTTGCTATGGGATTTTTGCCCTTCAATTTTGGGGGCTAAATTTTAGTTCAAGGTAATGATGAAAACAAAATAATGGATTTAAATCTCACTTAATAACAACATCTTAACTGCTCAACTTTCTCTTAAGATAACTTTAGAAGTTAACAGAAGACCAGAGGCATCTCAGGTTGCATTTTTAACATTTACATGATTGTGTCCATTCCTTTCACTCTGAAAGAAAGAATTAAATGCCTTATGAGCCAGTGCCCTCATATTTATGTAGGTCTGTCATTCCTAAATTTCATTTGGATGAAGTTCCTAGTTTTTCTGTAGTAAAAAAATGTTGTTTTGTCTGTTTTGCTGCTATAGTCTGAAGCTAGACATTACAGTACTCCAAGTGCATTTGATTACTTCTTCCTGATTGCTTCTTCCAACTTTCATTGCCAGCCTTAAAATAGATCATATTTTCAGTGGAATGGAAATGTGCCTTGTGGCTGATCAGGCAGTGCAGGTTGTGCCTTACTTCTAAACTACCTCCTCTTTCCAATGAAAGGGTTGAAATGGACAAAAAGATACCATAACTTGAAGTTTGCTAATGATAGCTTTGTGGGTTTTTTTGCATGGTGCAAAGAATAAAAACTTTGCGTCATGGATGCTGGCAAGCAGAGTGCTTACTTTTGTGTCAGTCACATTTGGAACAACTGGCCTTTTGTTCCTAGAAACTTGGGCAACCATCTCTCACTCTTGATGGATCTAAAGCTTAGAGCAGAAAATAATTAAAGCATAACAATGCTATTTAGCTTAATAAATTCCTGTAGCACAGAGGAAATATGGATACTATTGCATCCTGGTATAAAAGTAAAAAAATAGTCTTTACCCTTATGAGCTTGTAATCTTTTCATAAGGTAAGTGACAGCAGGTGGATGCAGACAGAATTGTTTGGTGCTCCAGGCAGTGGTATTGACACAATAGCGTCTGTTTTTAAACTTTTCCTAGGCATCATGGAATAAAGCTCAGAGGGAGGAATTTCAAATCTTCGGGAAAGGAGGGATTCTGTTTTGCTGTTGCTTCACTGGTTTTTGTTTTTTTTTCCAAGTTATTGTGCTACAAAAAAAAAATTAATTGAGAATAATGAGGTGCTCAATGGGATTTTCATCATACACATTCCAAATTCAGTTGGCTTCTGAATTTTTCTTGTTTGCTTTTGGTCAGTTTGAATGAAGATGGTGTCTATTGCCATAACAAAACGTGCATCCTGTGTCTGTCTACTTCTCACATTCACATCCTATTTAATTGACAAGCAAGGAGTTCCACAGACTTGATAGGGCACCAATAGCTGTATGAGGCAATATCTTATCCTGAGAAACAGATTTGCAGTATACTTCGATTTATACAGATTATTTTTCTGATCCGCTCTATTTTGAAGCCTGATTCCTGTAAGTGTTAACTTCAGTCTTCGAAGTTCTCATCTAATATAGAGCTAATGTAATATGAATCATTACTGGAAAAGTTTTATAAAGGTTATCTTCCAAATTAGCTTTTGGAGAAGAGATCTCAAAATTGCAACTCTAATAGGTAAAAATGTTTTATCTGTTAGCTATTATACTGATACTGCTATTGATTGGTTATGAATCATTTATACGTGCAAGTTTCAAACCTGCTAGTAACCTTGAAAAACGGTCCAAACACTAAACTTTAAAACTCTTGTAGAAGGCTTCCAAATATTAAGTAACTATTTATTTAACAGGGTGAAAAATGAAAGCCATTTTCCCATTTCAGTTTCATTTGATGGTTGAAGTATGGATGTGAATATGTTCATTATTTGCTTGATTTCAGAAGGCTTGTCACTGGCAACTCCAGATGTGAAGGAATCTAATTTTACGTCCTCATATTCAAGTAATGTGAGCATAGGGGAAGTAGTTCTGAAAATTAACTTATTTTAGCTGTGATGGATTTTTGTGGTAGGATACTTCTTGGAGACTTCCTGGTAGCTTATGTGGCTGCAAGCAGTGTTTGTGTAAGGGAGAGGTCAGCAATGATGCAATTATTCCAAAGGAGTTGTCCAGTTTTTTCTACCTTTTAATGCACTAGTGTAATAAACGGTACTGTTATACTGTGTACTAAACACAAGGTATTTTATCACTGGAAGTGTTGTTTTGTTTTTTTTTCTAATCTTAATTTATAATGCTAGAGGATTAAATTGTTATGAACAGAGTAAGTGATTTAATGGTGATATAATGTTATTCATCTTTATATGTCTGCAATTCTTCACCCTTCAGCAGGCTGTAATAAGTTTGGCAATAACAAGCTGTCAGGTCTTTCACTGAGGGGTGGATTTATGTTGTTGATTATAAATACTAATCATTCCAAATGGACAAATAAAACACTTAAAAACCCTTTATTTGTGCGGAATGCTTCTGTAAATGGGTCTTGGTTTTCTCCAGTAAGAAAGCTGACAGTTTTTCCGTTGTGAGTCCTGATAAATATGCTTGACATTAGCTTAATTGGGTTGGAAGAGTTTTTCTGATGCTCTTAATAGCCAAATATTCCTCATTAACATATCTCAAAATCCATATGCATTAGGACTTGTGCTGTTGATAAAACCATTTTTTTATAGTGCTCAATATATATTTTGCTTCTTTCTGTTTTGTTTTTTGGTGTGTGTGTTTTTTTCTTTTTGCATTTAGTTAAGGGAATTAAATTGTATTTGAAGGCCAGTCAAGCAAAACTGCTGAGTACTAAGGTCTTCTGAGATTTAGCTGAAAGTCTGTTTCTAGGTATGGAAACAGACAGTGCTGTATGGATGTACTTTTAAAGTCTAAATGAGGCTTATTTATGTTGAATATCCTTTTGAATCTAGCTTCAAATGTGGTGGGGTTTTGTGTTGGTTTTTTTTTTTCTTCCCCCCTAAACTTAAGGGTTTAACTTTAAAAGAGGGGAGAGAAATTCCTTATAGCTAGCCATGTTTTCCAGGCAATCATGCCAGTAGGTACAAATTACCCTGGAAATACTGTCTTCCAGTAGCCAGGCATGTGCTACCACCCACACAAACACTGCATCAGAATCAGTTCTGTCCCTTTTTTGCCACCCCACCTTTGAGGTTAGACACAATGAGCGGTCCTTGGGATCTTCAAATTCCTGCAAAATCCAGGACTCGTTTGCTTTAAAATGACAGGAGAGACTGTTACTTTAGGCTACTGATGATGGTTCCTTTTGCAGCCGCCTCCTGGTTTCACTGTATCAAAAGCAAATTTCTAGTTCAGGATTTGATTTGGAGTGGTAGTGGTTTGTTCTTGCCTTATCAAACCAGCTTTATTGCATGGTAGCAGCAGGTTGGTTGTTTTCACTTAAGTTTTCATTGGCTTACCTGGAGTTTCTACCCCAATTCCATTTTCTGGAGGGGTGTGCATATTATGAAAATAGCCACCATAATTATTGCTGTCTTTAACAATTTCAGCCAAAGAGCAACAGTGCTTGGAGACCTTACTATACTCACTTAAATTTTTGGGGGTGTTGTTTTGTTGGGGTGGTTTTGGTTTTTGTTTTTTTTTAAACCCTCTTGTAATTATTATATTCATACAAGTCTAGCACATGCTGGAGGTGGGGGGGGAAGGTTGTAAAAAAAACCCTAATTTGAAAAGACTTGCTAGGCTTGTAGCGAAATCATCAGGTAACTATTTTAAGGTTTTGAGCGTATTATACTTTGATACTTGATGAGAAGAAATATCATGTGCCAATTAATGTCAGGGCTTGCTGAAACAGAGAAATAAAATGCAAATTATGATCCATTTTCTCAATGATGATATCTTAGGTAAAGGTTAAATGCTTTTTGCATGTGGCCGGAACTTTAGCAATTGTCCTGCCCATATTGGTAACGCATGAAAAGTTAGCATGAGCAAGTTTCTCTTGCCACTAAATATGTTCCTTCCATTTATGCTCAAGTGAAACAATAAAGGTGTTGTTTCTAGAACATGTGTTTTTAAAAAAAAAAACCCAACCCCAAAACACCTACTAACTGAGCAGAGGAAAATGTGTGTTGCAGCAGTGTTGCAAAGCTTTCACTGTGTGCCAAGATACTTCTGTGTGGTTTTCATAGTGGCTAAGACAAACAACTGTAAAACAGTATTTTTTCCCCCCAAGGAATTATATTTGGATAAGGTTAGAAACGGATACAGAACCTAAACATCAATCTTTGTCAGGGGGCTACAAGTAACTTTGCAACTAGCGTGTTAAACCTGTCCTTTACTTTGGTACACCCCAGGCTAGACCTAGACATACCTAATGGGAAGTGGAGACAAAAGTAACCCAAAAGCATTTGTTAGTGTTGGATTTATTTTTTCTTTTTTTTTTTAAATGCCTTTTCTGTTGGTCTCAAGTGTACCTGACAGTTAAAACTTCACTTAGAGCAGGAAAAAACAGTAATTTTGGTTTTTACTGTGCTCATGATTTCATTTCAAAATGCTGGACTGCAGTAGAGGATGGCTCAGTACAGTACTAACTCAAGGGTTTGCAAGAGAAAACCAAACCTGCTACACTAGGCTAGTGTTGCACAGCCATGGTCTGAGAACCCTTGATGGCCTAAGAGAAGGTAAGGCCAAAATGACTATTTAAAAAAAACCAAACCCAAACCAAACCCTAGCACAAACTTGGTGCACGTGTGCATGTAATATGGGGAAAAGTGGTCCAGGTTTAGCTTGGCTTCCTTTGTTCAGTTCCTGCTGGGAAATGCAGTCATCTTCCTTGCTGTTTTCTATGAACAATAATTTAATTTAAATGCCTATAGAGAATACAAGACTTCATTGTTGCTAAAAAGCAAATGTTGTTTAGCTAATTATAGACACTGCTGTTTTCCAAGAACACTGGGATTAGAAGAGGTTAGCAAACACACCAACAGGTTATGTGACTGAAAGGTGTGCCCGAGATGTGTGAATCAGTCCTGCTCCTGGTTGCAGAAGGTTTTTTCTCTCCTAGCATAGCAGGAGAGCTGTAAGAAAAGGGAAGATGTTTCTCTGTTACCGCCACCCTTCGTCCAGGGTTTTGGGAAGCTTCCTGTACATCAGCCAATCTGAGATCGCACAGGAGCGGCTCTGTAGCCTCTTTACTTGATTATACAGAGTTAACTGAGTCATTTGAAAGAGCACACGGCAATGACGAACAGCAAATCCTATTAAGGATGTCCGTGTTTCCTGCTGTT